CGTGGTGGGGGAGAAGTCCCCTGCCCGGCGGCGGGGGCCCGCCCTCCTCATGCCGGCCTGCAGGCCCCTGCCCCTCGCCAGGCTGACCACCGGACACACAGCGTTCCCACTTCAGTTTCTTGTGTCACATTACATGTGACAGGAAAGCAAAGGGCCTCTGTGACAACCCAGCCCTTGAGAGAAGCTCGGCGGTGGGGGTTGACCGGGGGCCCAGGGAGCCCCTGCAGAGGGGCCCTCCGGGGTCCTCCTGAGACTCGGCGCTGGGAGGCCCTCTCGTGGCAGCGTGAGAGTCTGGTTTCTATTAAAACAGAACAAAGAGGACAAAGAAGAGGGGTCTTGGCCTTTCAGACCCCCGGGCCCGCAGGTCCGATAAGCCCACCGACCCCTTGGCCGTGGGGGCCCCCGGTCGCCCGGCTTTGGGCACAAGGGGCTCTGCAAAGACCAGGGGGCCCCCGGGGCCGTTAGAAGACGCGTCGCTGGATCAGCACTTACGAGGGACAGCGGGACAAGCGCTGCCCGGTGGCCGGGACTCCTGGGCTGGCCTCCACTGTGCCTTTCTTTGGGCCTCAGTGTTCTCAACTGTCAAGTGACCTCTGATGTTGCTGTCAGCTCTGAACTTGTGATTATGTGACCAAAACTGAACCCGCCACTCTTCTGCCCAAGAAGGCCCTCCTGGCATGCCCACCCCTGACTCCTCGTCCCCTGTCCCCAGCCCCCACCTCCGCCTCTGTCTGCCCGCAGCAGCCCTGGCTCCACCTCCAAACCCTCCACCTGGTCATTACCAGTGTGGGCACCATCTCACGAGTCCCTGCTCTGAGGGCCTGCTGGCTGCCGCCTCTGTCCGTCCAGGTGGCCCAGCACTGCCCTCCCTCAGGTCTTCAATCCTGGGCCCTCCTGTTTCACCCCTGTCACCCACCTCTTCGCCTGCCTGGGCTCCCCCACCCCGGCCCCCTCCCGCCTCCCCCTGCGCCTCTCCGGCCCTCTGGCCTGGCCCCGCCAGTCCCAGTAAAGCAGCGTCCCCTGTTGCCAGGGGGACCGACCGTCCCGTCAGCTTCCCTGGGCCGCTGGACGGTTTGCTCTGGGTCACCACCGAGTTCTTGGCTCAGCTACCCTCCCTCAAAGACGACCGACCGATGTAAGTAACGCTCCCCCTCCGGTCCCCTCGCTCACCCTCCCCCGGGACCGGCCGTCCCTGAGATGGCACTGCTCCTCTGTCTGCTGCTGTGGGCCGTGGCCCCACAGCGTCGACTCCTCGAGGCCGGGGGCTGTACTGCCCTGCTCATCACCGTCTGTCTGTCTTCCTCCAGGGCTTGGCAACATCGTGTGGAAGGAAAGAATGACACCAGTTTACTGGTTGGGTTTGTTATCTTGACTCCAGGCACCCGAGAGGTGTCGTCATAGGGTGTGGCTTCAAGGCTGGGGTTCTGAACGCAGAGCTGGTGCAGATGGTGACGTCGGACATCCCCGAGGGCGCGGCGGGGTCCCGGGCTCCACAGCCCTGCTAACGCGTCAGCGTCTTGAAAGCTGCGCTGAAGCGCGGCCGCCCTGGAACCACTGCCCTGCACGGACAGTGCTTCACTTTCTTCCCAGTGTTGACCCTACTTTCAAAATTAACTTTATTGCTTCTGATGATGAAAATAAGACGTGTCCCCTTAAAACACGTAGAAACTGGAGGAGGACATTGTACAAGCCAGGGTTCTGACAGGGAAAGAGAACCAGCAGGGGACCGCACCCTCACACCCATGCACGCAGGCACGCACACACACACCTGCAGACACACATATAGCCCCCCCCACACAGACACACACATACACGCACAGACACGTCTACACACAGACAAGCAGACACACACAGACCCACACATAAAGATCCATATCTACATAAAGAGGTCTATTCCAAGGAATTGGTTATGCATTCGTCTCAGCTGGCAAGTCCGCAACCTCAGGGCAGGCGGCTGGAAGCTCTGGGCCAGGAGCCGGCCCTACCGTCCACGGGCCGAGTCAGAATCTCTTCTTTGGCAGGAAAACCTCGGTTTTGCTCCTAGGGCCTCTGGACCGATTGAGCCGGCCCTCCTGGGTTATGGAAGAGCAACTCCTTTACTTCAAGTCAGCCCCCCAGCAGCACCAGGATTAGTGACTGGCTGGGCACCAGGGACCAGCCAAGCAGAAGACCAACCAACAGAGGCGTGAGCGAAGTCCAGAAGGACCCTGCAAATCGGAAAGAAAAGGACCGGCAGCCCAGCAGGAAAAGGGGCAGAAGCTATCCAGGAGCTGGCACAGAGCCCCGGGCGGGGGGCGCGGCCCATACAGGACAAGACGCCCCCTTCCCCGCTGCAGTACAGGGGAGCCGTTGAGGTCAGAGCAAGGTCGACTCTTCAGCGCAGGCAGGGCCCGGGGCTCTTTCTGGGGTGGGGGTAGTGCTCCACCTCTTGCCCTGGATGCCAGCTGCACGGGGTGGAGTCACAGTTCCGGAACAGGCGGAGGTCGAGGCAGTAAGGGGCTCCCCAGGACCGGGCCTGGGTCTTGGTAGTGGAGTGGAGCAGTACCAGCTCTCGGGCTCTGGGGGTCAGACACGTCTGTGGGGTGAATGCTGTGGTCCCTGCCCTTTGGAGCAAGCCACCCGCTTCTCCTGCGTCCACTACAGCACCCGGGTTTTCTGGTGCAAACAACGTGGCTGACGCGGGGACCTCAGGCACCTCGACTTCGCGGCAGGAATACATGTTTTGGTCAGTTACCTGTTTTAGGCTGAAAGCTTACTTTGACTCAAGGTACTAAATATAATTAGCTTAGGTCAGTCCCTTTAAACCCTGGTGGATGTTGCACACTTACAAACGTGTAATGTGTCCTGGCCGGGCCGTGAGCTGTTTGGTGCCATTAGGATGTCATCGATAAGTGAAACCAGTGGGAAGAGGAGGAAAGGGTGCTTAGGAGACACGTACCGAGGCCTCTGCAGCCGCTGTGCTGAAGTTATGGGGGCTCTCTCTGCATCTGTGGTTCCTAAGGGAAGTTGGAGGGGGACAGTGGAGCCGGCTCGGGGGGCTGGAGCCGAGGTTGCCCTGGGATCCTGCCTCCTACGGCCCCTTCCCAAGGAAGAGGGGAGAATGTTTTATATCCTAGGACCTTGAACAGCACTTTTTTCTGATTTTTGAACAAGGGGCCCACATTTTCAGTTGGCACTGGCTGCAATTTGGCCACTCGCACTTCCCAGCCGGGAGGACCCAGGGGCCCCCCGGGAAGCCAGGCTGCTGAGGCTCCTTGGGGACACCCCACGTGACCCACTGTGTGAGCAACTCACAGTAGCGCTGCACACCCACCACCCGGCCCCCAGCCGCACGGCCACGTGGGTCCCTCCCCTGCAAGGTGTGGCTGGCAGGTTGCTGGCTATGGTTCACGGTAAGATTAGCAGGGACGGGAGGAAGCGTTCACAAACTTCTGTAGCAATTGGCAGAGTGGTTTTATGTCTGCTGAATCTAACAATAAAAAATCAGGGCTTGGATGTTTTTTCCAGTTCATTTTTTCTAGTAATCTATTTTTTATAGGATTTTACAAGCTGGCGATTGGAGGGGGCTCTTTATAATGGACAGTTTCCAGGACCGATTTTTCGTTCCTTTGTGAATGAAGGGCTGTAGCCCTGCCTTGGCTCTTTCACCGGTGCCACAGGCTTGCGTTTCAATCACCCTGGGCGTTTCTCGTGGATTTGAATGGGAAGGTCTGACTGCCACGTAAATTCATGAAGGGCAAAGCCACATTCCCGGTGACTGCAAGCACGCGGGCTCTGAAGCGGCTATTTGCAGGAGGAACCTGTCTCAGCCGCTGCTCAGGATGAAATGAAGATGTATTTCTACACTGAACTCATATACTTTTTCTGTAAGAGTCACAATGAAACCTTCCATTCATGGACAGAGACTGTTTCAGCTAAACTGCTCTAAAAAACAGCCCTGTGTGCACCCCCTTTTCTGCAGGGCTCGAGTCCCCACCTCAGAGGCATGGCCGGAGGCCGCCCAGCAGGCTCAGGGCTGCTGGCCCCCTTCCTCCGGGGGCTGTCGAAGATTTTCTCCTAACACTTCAGTCCCCTGTGTTGGGAAAAGCACCATCACCTCCTAAACGCTTCCTGCTGCTGAAGCACAACAGGCAGGTGGCTGTTCTCCAGGGAAGGTACAAAAATGGACTGGGTCAACCTCTGGCCTTCCTGGGCATCGTGACTACCAGCTCCGGCCCAGAGGGAGGAGGCAGGAGCGGTGGTTCCGGGTTTCATTAGAAAAGAAGTCTGTGCATCACTGAACAGTGCGATTCCATAGCTCATCCTGCCCTTGTTCCTGCTATTTAACACTGAAAGGACAGAGGCCGTGTGGGAGCAAGGGGGCTGCAGCTGCAGGGAGGACAGAGAGGACGCCCCCCCCACCCCCGCCCGGAGGGCCAGTGGCAGAGGAGGTGACACAAGATGCAAAGAGCAGGAGGAAGAGGAAGATGCAGCCGGGTGAACCGTGCGTGAGGAACTCAGCATCGGTGGAAATTTTACCTTCAGCGACAGGGCACTTTTCAAGTAGGCAACTCACTCCCGGTAATACAAAGGCCTCCTTGCAAGGACGCCTGCGCTCAGAACAGCCTCCTCCGGAGAGCAGGGCCGCGCCCTCGGTGAGCGGGGACGGCGGTGAGCAGCGGCTGCAGCCAGACGGCAGCGCCTGGCCCCGCGTTTCCTGCCAGCGCCCAGGAAGTGGTCACCCTTGGCACCCATCTGAGAAAGACTAAGAACACGTGGCTTTATTTGGAAGTTTTGTTTTTGAATATAATGGAAATGTGAGCAGAAATAACCAAC